TTTATTTTCTGTTTTCTTAATATTTAAGTACCATGTCTATATTAATACACCCTACCACAAAATCAGGTGTACCTCCTTCTTACCAAGAAGAACTTAAAGGGAAAAACTCTACAGGTATGAAATCAAATTAATTTCTGCCTGTCTACATCAGCAGTAGGTCACTGAACCTCCACTCTACCTGCACCACAAAACTAGGCAGTAAACATTCCATCACAAACAAGATAAAAAAAACCTGGAAACAATGAGGACAGAAAAAGGAATGTGAGCTTTCCCAGCAAGTACAGTACCAACATCTTTTTAAGCCAAACTGAGGCTAGCTTACCAAAACCATTTCAACTGCTGTGAGAGACCAAGATCAAAGCCATTATTCAGCAGGGGCCCTTGAAATCATAAACAGATTATGGGTGTGTTGAAGGTGTCACTCCCTAGGGGATGTCACAGGCATGAGTTTCAACAAAATCCACGAACATGCAAGTAATGGAATGTGTACATTGAAATATCTAACAGAATGTCTATACTTATGTGGAAAACAGAAAGGAGTGTTATCTGTAAGGGGTTTGTGAGATAGCTTAGATAGAAAACCATGTGTACTGGGATTCTATTAACATTTCCTCTTAGTTCTTAGTTGTAATTAAATACAGTACAGTATTTAATAATCATGGTCAAAATATACTGTAATTTACTATCTCTAAAAGGGAAGACCGGTGTAAATTAAGTTTTGAAGTGTGTATTGCAAGACCAGACTTTCTTAAAGTGGATGACAAGATACTAGACTTAACAAGGGAATATAAAATATTTTGAAATACTATGTACAGTAACAATAGAAATGTTGTCAATAATGTGCTTCGTATATCATAAATTGCTTTGAAATTTTATTGTGACAAATTATCATTTAATTTTTTTAACAATTGATTATCATTCTTTTATTTTATACAAACTGAAATTGAATTTGACGAATTGCCAACTCTTTCTTTAGTTTCCAGCTCACAGCAAGACCTGCTGTACGGCACAGAGTGTGAGGATTGGCAGATAAATTCCCCCGACCCACATACAGT